TCCACAGTGAGTGATTCAGATGTGGAATTTGCTGCCAGAGGATGTAGGCACAGACGGCTTTAGAAGGTCATTCAACAGATTTGTGGAGGAGATGTCTGTCTGTGGCTTCTAGTCATGGGGACTGAAGGGAACCTCCATGCTAAGAGGCAGTCGACCTCTGAGCCCCAGAGCCAGGAGGCAATGTCAGGGGCAGGCTTCGGCCTCCGTGCCCTTTTGCTGGCCCTCCAAAGGGACTGGCTGGCCCCTGTGCGAGACGGGAGGCTGGACTGGATGGACCCTCCCTGGTCTGTCCCAGCAGGGCTCTTCTGGCGTCCTTATCAGGGGAAGGCCTCGGCCTCTCTGCCCTGCTGTTGTCCCTCCAGAGGAACTGGTTGAGGCCACTGTATGAGAGACGGGAGGCTAGGCTAGATCGACCCTCCCTGGTCTGTCCCAGCAGGGCTCTTCTGGCGTCCTTATCAGGGGAAGGCCTCGGCCTCTCTGCCCTGCTGTTGTCCCTCCAGAGGAACTGGTTGAGGCCACTGTATGAGAGACGGGAGGCTAGGCTAGATCGACCCTCCCTGGTCTGTCCCAGCAGGGCTCTTCTGGCGTCCTTATCAGGGGAAGGCCTCGGCCTCTCTGCCCTGCTGTTGTCCCTCCAGAGGAACTGGTTGAGGCCACTGTATGAGAGACGGGAGGCTAGGCTAGATCGACCCTCCCTGGTCTGTCCCAGCAGGGCTCTTCTGGCGTCCTTATCAGGGGAAGGCCTCGGCCTCTCTGCCCTGCTGTTGTCCCTCCAGAGGAACTGGTTGAGGCCACTGTATGAGAGACGGGAGGCTAGGCTAGATCGACCCTCCCTGGTCTGTCCCAGCAGGGCTCTTCTGGCGTCCTTATCAGGGGAAGGCCTCGGCCTCTCTGCCCTGCTGTTGTCCCTCCAGAGGAACTGGTTGAGGCCACTGTATGAGAGACGGGAGGCTAGGCTAGATCGACCCTCCCTGGTCTGTCCCAGCAGGGCTCTTCTGGCGTCCTTATCAGGGGAAGGCCTCGGCCTCTCTGCCCTGCTGTTGTCCCTCCAGAGGAACTGGTTGAGGCCACTGTATGAGAGACGGGAGGCTAGGCTAGATCGACCCTCCCTGGTCTGTCCCAGCAGGGCTCTTCTGGCGTCCTTATCAGGGGAAGGCCTCGGCCTCTCTGCCCTGCTGTTGTCCCTCCAGAGGAACTGGTTGAGGCCACTGTATGAGAGACGGGAGGCTAGGCTAGATCGACCCTCCCTGGTCTGTCCCAGCAGGGCTCTTCTGGCGTCCTTATCAGGGGAAGGCCTCGGCCTCTCTGCCCTGCTGTTGTCCCTCCAGAGGAACTGGTTGAGGCCACTGTATGAGAGACGGGAGGCTAGGCTAGATCGACCCTCCCTGGTCTGTCCCAGCAGGGCTCTTCTGGCGTCCTTATCAGGGGAAGGCCTCGGCCTCTCTGCCCTGCTGTTGTCCCTCCAGAGGAACTGGTTGAGGCCACTGTATGAGAGACGGGAGGCTAGGCTAGATCGACCCTCCCTGGTCTGTCCCAGCAGGGCTCTTCTGGCGTCCTTATCAGGGGAAGGCCTCGGCCTCTCTGCCCTGTTGCTGGCCCTCTTGAGGAACTGGTTGGCCCCTGTGTGAGAGATGGTAGTCTGGACTAGATGGACCCTCCCTGGTCTGATCCAGCAGGGCTCTTCTGAGGTTCTACTCAGGGGAAGGCCTCGGCCTCTCTGCCCTGTTGTTGGACCTCCAGAGGAACTGGTTGAGGCCACTGTATGAGAGACGGGAGGCTAGGCTAGATCGATCCTCCCTGGTCTGACCCAGCAGGGCTCTTCTGATGTCCTTGTGAATGGGACCCATTTCTCAGTTGAGCAAACCCATCCTCTCACACTGAGGAGATCTCCCTGGGGAGAGGGAAGGGGGGCTTGTGATTGTGGACCATTTAATCCTTGGGCCACGTATGAAGATGGGTCTCTGCGATGGCTGCTGCCTGAGGCGGAGGCAGTTGACACTGGGTGTTGTCTAGAAAGGCCAGGAGGTTGTGCTGTGGGGGGGGGGGGGGGGCAAGCCAGTGGTCATCATGGGGTCTAGTGACACGGGTCGTGGTCAGGCAGTCGACGAGGTGGTCAGGGCAGGTGGTTGAAGCTCAGGACTGCCAGTGCATCTTTCTCAGAATTGTGGCCTGTCCCATCTGCAGGGCCAGCGAGACAGGCAGAAATTAGGGGGAGTCTCAGGAGGTCGAAGTAAAGATAAAAACAGTATAAGTAGATCCAGGTGGGTCGCTATTTATTTATTTATTGATTGATTTGATTTGATCTATTTCCTGCCCTCCCTGCCGAGGCAGGCTCAGGGCGGCTTACATTAGAAGTTAAAATATTAAAACACCGATGACCAACATACTTTAATTCTGGGCATGCTGTTTTCCGGGGGCTGGTCAGAGAGGCAGCCATAACTCAGCCATGTTCCATGAACTCCCCGCCGGCTCAATGTGTCTATCGTGAGGTGCCTCTGCTAATGTCGGTGTGTGAAAGCTTATGCCCCGGACTAATCTTTGTTGGTCTTAAAGGTGCCCCTGGACTCAAACAGTATGACAGCCCCCCGTGCAACCCTCAGCGCCTGAAAGTCTCACGACCATCCCCAAAGGCCCTTCTGAAATAACCCAGTTTTGCCAGCCCAGCAAGTGAAGGTACCCCTGCCAGGGCTCCCTCTGAGCTGTGGAGTCCTGTGAGCAAGAATTCTACTTTGTGAGCTCCTGGCGTGAAAGTTGTGAGTGAGCGATTTGGCTGCTGCATAAATCAGTTTGCTCTGGAGCCACATCCTTCCTGAGCGAAGACAAAAATGGGTCAGCCGGAGGCTAGAAAACTGTGAGCTAGCTCGCACTCACACATCTTAGAGGGAACACTGCCCTTGGCTCGTATTGAGGCCAGTGGACCCTGGGCGGAGGTGACGGGAGCCCCATGAATCTGTGGGCACTCCCGGTCACGAAGCTCACCTGTCAGCAGACTGCGGGAAGAAGAAGAAGAGAAGAGATTGGATTTATACCCCGCCCTTCACTACCCAAAGGTGTCTCAGAGCGGCTTACAAACTCCTTTCCCTTCCCCTCCCCACAACAGACACCCCTGTGAGGTAGGCAGGGCTGAGAGAGCTCTGAGTGTCCTTGAGAGAACAGCTCTGAGAGAACTTGTGACTGACCGAAGGTCACCCAGCCAGGTGCAAGTGGAGGAGGAGTGGGGAATCAAACCCGGTTCTCCCAGATGAGAGTCCGCGCACTTAACCACTACACCAAACTGACAGGAACTGGCGGGGATTCAGTTTTGAATGAGGCCAATGGGCTGACTGGTCTGGCCCCTGCAGACGGGGAAGTTGTGGGGCTTGGCCTTGACAGGGCACGTTCCTTGGGAGGTGGAAGCTGGGTAAGGAGGCCAGAGGCTGTGGTGAGACACTTGGGCACCCCGAGGGTCCTTGCAGAAGGGGAGGCAAAGCGTGCCTCTCGCTCCGGGCCTAGCCGGTTGCTGCTGCTGCTTCTCCGAGGGAGCGGCTGCCTTGCCCACTGGCCGATGCTCATCTTGGGGGACCTCCGTGTCACGAGCAAGGGAAAGGACTCCTCCCCATCCCCATGATGCTGGATGGCCCAGTCCCCAGTGCCGGGAAAAGAGGGGCCCACAGGGTGCGGGGACACACACACACACCCAGCCGAGGTCTCCCCATGCAGGTCGTTTAGGCAAGGAGGGTGTTTGGCTCACGTAGCTCAGTTCCCAAATCCAGATCTTTGTCCGAGGGGGGGAAAGGCCCACGGCTGTGTTCTGTCTCTGAACCCGAGCCCATTCTCCTTATCTCCCAGACATCTTGGGTGGGGGGCTGGGCGTCATGTTGGGTGGAGCTCCCACTCCGTGGATTTTCAAAACCAAACACAAGTGTTTGCTAACTAGGATGTGTCGGGATGTGTCATTCTTAGTTGGAGGAGAAAGAGTTGACATTGTGGAGGAGACGCCGGGTGCTTTCTCCGGGTGCTTTCCAAGGGTGCCCCAGTAAGGAATTCTGCCTGTCTAGCGAGGAGAAGTTCTAGGTTTTGGACCACCAAAGAACACCCTGTGGGATGGGTCAGTGGGGTATTCTCCGGAGTGGATCCGAGTCTCATTGCCGTGTGAATCCATTCGATCTACGGAGCCAGTGAAATAGTCCCTTCGCGGGTGGTGCCGGTTCTCGGGTGTGGTGTGGAGCCCAGCATGCGCTGCAGCTTTGCAGAGACTGGAGGGACTTGTTTGTGGGTCAGCTTTTCCCGTTGTTTGGTGTGGGGCTTGGGAGTGCCGGAATGCCGCCTGTGGTGAAATGGGCCCCCCTGCAGGCATCGCGCTCTACCTTTGAGGGTGTAGAATTTTCTCAGCTGGCCGTGTCCACGGGCTGCTAGACCGCCGTGAGGTCACCTGTCTGGATTTATTCCACAGACACCCCCAAGCACATATGCTCCCTCTGAGCTGTGGAGGCCTGTGAGCAAACATCCCACTTTGTGAGCTCCTGGCATTACAGTTGTGAGTGGGTCATGTGGCTCCTGCATGAATGGGTTTGCTCCGGAGCCGTCCCTTCCCGTGTCAAGACAAAAATGAGTGAGCCGGAGGCTAAAGAACCGTGGGCTGGTTCCCACTAACTCAGCTGAGAGGGAGCACTGGTGACCGGAGTCCTCGCTGCTCCCCGCAGGTGGGGAGTTAGAGGTGTCCATGTCTGGTCATTCGCCACCCAGAGTCTCTCTTTCCGTTTCTACAATGATTTCCCTTTAAATTAAAACTTAGAAGACCCACCACTCTGGTCTTGGAGCTCTGCCCACTCCCATGTTTCGGTGGCCCGACACCCTGGGAGAGGGGTGTGCAGCCCGGGACAGGTGGCCCTTCTGTCAGGCTGGGGGGGGCTCCTGCAGGGTGCCCCGCCCCCCGGGTGTGAGCCTTGGGGAAGAGCGGTGGGGGCATGCCCCTTTGGGGAGGCGCGTGCAGATAAGCAACTCTAGTCTTCGCCCCACAGATGGCTTCCGCAAACGACACCCGGCAGGCGCCCAAAGATGCCGCTGACCAGAATTTTGACTACATGTTCAAGCTGCTGATAATCGGCAACAGCAGCGTGGGGAAGACCTCTTTCCTCTTCCGATACGCCGACGACTCCTTCACCTCGGCCTTCGTCAGCACCGTGGGCATCGACTTCAAGGTCAAGACCGTGTACAGGAATGAGAAGAGGGTCAAGCTGCAGATCTGGGTAAGGAGCGGCGGAGGTCGAGGCCAGGACTTCGTGGGGCTGGGAGGAGTCTGTGCCACGACAGATTGGAGGCCTGCGCCCACGCAGCCGGGACTGCAGGGGCCCCTCGGTGGCCATTGGCCACAAGGGATAGGTAGGAACTCTCCGTCTCGGGGGCAAGGGATGCTCTGTGTTCTGGGTGCTGGGGGGGGGAGGGGGCCTTCAAGAGGGAACTGGATAAACGTATGGAGCAGAGGTCCAACCTACCCGAGAGATGGCCCTCCAGCCTCCGCTTGGAAACTTCCAGCAAAGGAGCCTCCACCACCTCCCGAGGCAGACTGCTCCACTGCTCAACCACTCTCACACTTAGGACATTTCTCCTGATATTTAGTCGGTATCTGGAGAAACGTCCTAACTGTTGAGTGGTGGATGGAAAGGCCCCGTCTCCGGCCACTTCCTGCCTCATCACTGAGGAGGTTCGGAGGGGGTTCAGAGAGCAGGGCTGGTGAGGAAGGTCTTTGTGGTTGAGCGGGGCAGTACAGGGGGAGGGGGTCCTTCAAACACCCCCTGCCCACCCCAAGCAGCGTTTTCAGTCATTGGCCCAGTCCCCAGGCTGGGGCAGTCGCCACCTTGATAAGAAAGGTCACATACAGGATTATTTTTTTTAGTGAGCTCAGAGATAGGCACGATGCGGATATTTACTTAGTGAAAGAGCCTCTACTGTGTATGCAGAAGGTTCCAAGTTCAATCCCCGGCAGCATCTCCAGTTAAAATAGGTGATGTGAAAGACCTCTTCTACCTGAGGTCCTGCAGAGCGGCTGCCAGTCTGAGAAGGCAATACTGACTTTGATGGACTGACGGTCTGATTCAATATAAGGAAGCTGCATGTGCTCATGTGTAAAATCAGCATGTCAGGAGAGCCAGTGATGGGTTGGAGCCCTTTGCAATATCAGAAGGCCCCTGTATAAATCGATGGTGCGGCCTCATTTGGAGTACTTTGTGCAGTCCTGGTCACCACACCTTAAAAAGGATATTATAGTGTTGGAAAAAGTGCAGAAAAGGGCAACTAGAATGATCAAAGAGTTGGAACACTTTCCCTGTGAAGACAGGTTAATAAAGCGCTTGGGGCTCTTTAGCTTGGAGAAATGACGGCTGAGGGGTGACATGATCGAGGTTCATCAGATTATGCGTGGGACAGAGCAGGTAAAAAAGGAAAGAGGTACTTTTCTCCCTTTCTCACAATACAAGAACTCCTTGTGGGCACTCCATGAAATTGCTGAGCGGTCGGGTTAGAATGGATAAAAGGAAGTCCTTCTTCACCCAAAGAGTGATTAGCACATGGAATTCACTGCCACAGGAAGAGGCAGCGGCTACAAGCACGGCTGGCTTCAAAAGGGAATTAGATAAGCATATGGAGCAGAGGTCCACCAGTGGCTATGAGCCACAAGGGATAGATGGCCCATTGGCCTGATCCAACATTGGCTTCTCTTATGTTCTTACGTTCTCTAAAGGCCACGTGGCAACCCCTGCCAGGGGGGTCTCTGCTGGGGGGGGGAGACGCTCCAGGACTGCAGAGCGGACCCCCGAGAGGGAGAGGAGGCAGACCCCCCCCCCAGGTGATTGCCAGAAGCCCTGCTGTTCCCTTCGGGCCTTTTGGGTCTCCCGTTTCAGAGGCTGGGCTTGCGTGGGAGGCAAAGCCATCTGTTAACTTGTCCTGTGATAATCCTGTGTAAACACCTGGTGGAAGGGCTGTTCGGCAGGCCGGCAGCTGCTGACGTGGGCCCCGGAAGTCACCAGAGGGGCTGCGGGGGGGGGGGGTGGGGGCGGGGGTTTTCTTCCCCAGCGGCCCCCCGGTGGTCACCGAGGCAGCCGCCTCCTGCTGTACCGGGCTGGCCTTTTGCCCACCAGTGGAAAGAGAAGCACGGGGCTGGTCACGGCACACCTGAGGGCCACGCAGGTGAGGTTAGTGTGGGTCTCTGCTCTGGGGGAAAACGTGAGATGGCTCCTCCTTCTCCGTGTATTTCAGGTGGGAAACACAATTCCCAGGGCTTGTGGGTGCTCCACGCGGCCTCTGCCACTCGGCCAAAGCACCCCTTGTCCGTGGGAAGGACGACGGGCCTTCCTTCACCAGGAGCTTCCTGAGAGGGGCTCTCCCAGGCTGTGGTGCCCGGGCAGCTGCCCTCCCATGACCTTGGACAGATCACGAGAAGGGGGGGCAGGGAGGGTTGCCTCAGGGCTTAGTTCTCATGAGCCCTTTCTTACCCGCCCGGGGAAATGCCGATCACCACCTTGGGGTCTGGAAGCAAATTTTCTCCAGGCCAGTTTGGCCAGGGATCCTGGAGGGTGGGGGTTTGCCCTCTTCTGGGCATGGAGCGGGGGTCACCGGCAAGGCTCCCTCGAAGCTGTGGAGTCTTGTGAGCAAAAAATTCTATTTTCTGAGCTCCTGGCATTAAAGTTGTGAGTGAGCGATTTGGCCACTGCATGAATTAGTTTGCTCCGGAGCCCTCCTTCCTGAGCTAAAGATAAAAACGTGTGAGCCAGAGGCTAATAAAATGTGCACTCGCTCACACTAACTCAGCTTAGAGGGAACACTGGTCACTGAGGGTGTGTGTGGGGGGAGGTATTTCTGAATTTCCTGCATTGTGCGGGGGTTGGACTAGATGACCCTGGAGGTCATAAGAACAACATAAGAACATAAGAGAGGCCAGTGTTGGATCAGGCCAATGGCCCCTCCAGTCCAACACTCTGGGTCACACAGTGGCCAGAAATACCAGGGGCCACCAGGAGGTCCAGCAGTGGGGCCAGGACACCAGGAGCCCTCCCACTTTTGCCCCCCCCCAAGCACCAAGAATATAGAGCATCCCGTGTTCCATACGGAGAGTTCCTATCTAGACCTTGTGGCTAATAGCCACTGATGGACCTCTGCTCCAGATGTTTATCCAATTCCCTCTTATAAGAACAGAAGAGAAGCCAATGTTGGATCAGGCCAGTGGCCCATCCAGTCCAACACTCTGTGTCTCACATTGGCCAGAAATACCAGGGGCCATCAGGAGGTCCAGCAGTGGGGCCAGGACACTAGGAGTCCTCCCCCGTTGCTGCCCCCCCCCCAAGCACCTAGAATACAGAGCATCCCTTGCCCCAGACTGAGAGTTCCTATCTATAGTAAAGGTGAAGGTTTCCCTTGCTCGAAAGCCAGTCATATCCAGCTCTAGGGATGCGGTGCTCATCTCCGTTTCCAAGCCAAAGAAGCCAGTGCTGTCCGAAGACGTTTCCATGGACATGTGGCCAGCATGACTAGACGCCAAGACGCATAGAGTGATTTTACCTTCCCACCGAAGCGGTACCTATTTATCTACTTGCAATTTCTTGCTTTTGAACTGCTAGGCTGGCAGGAGCTGGATGGACCTCTGCTCCAGATGTTTATCCAGTTCCCTCTTGAAGCTGTCCATGCTTGTAGCCGCCTCCACCTCCTGTGGCAGTGAATTCCATGTGTTAATCACTCTTTGGGTGAAGAAGGACTTCCTTTTATCCGTTCTAACCCGACCGCTCAGCAATTTCATGGAGTGCCCACAAGGAGTTCTTGTCTTGTGAGGAAGGGAGAAAAGGGCCTCTTTCTCCACCTGCTCCGTCCCAGGAGGCATAATCGCATAAACCTTGAGTCCCTCCCAACTTGATGATTCTGTGACCTCCCTAGGTGCTTGCTTGGGCCAGCCCTGGACACTTGGCTTGCAGGGGCACTTCCCCGGCTCAGGGCTTGCAGGGAGAGGGGTACAGGGATTGTGGCGGAACACAAGGTGCCTGCTCTGGTTGTGTCACAAAGGGCCGCAGACCAGACTGTACAGTGGGCAACGGAGAGTCGGTTTCCCCTTCCTGCCGCGTGGTGTTGATGGCGGCTGGATCAGCGCAGAGCAGGAGTCGCACTCTGGTCCCAACGTGGGGGTCCCCGCTGGGCGTTGGGCCCCCTCCCCTCCCGGGGGTGCTCAGGTGCTTGCAGAGGGAAGCCACACTCTGCCCTCCCCGCCCGCCTGCCCCCCTGCCCTGGCTTGCTCCATTAAGTTTTCCACCTCTTTAAATTTTAATTACTGTCAACTGCGAGCCCTTCCACCCAAGCCCTCCTCCACAGGAATGGAAACAGATGCCAGAAGCCCTCTCGAGTCCGCTCTGGTTTCCGTGGTGACATGGCCTTCCCTCTGCCTTTGCTCCCCTCCAATGTCTGGACAGCCTTCCCGTCCGACCTCTGTCTCAGTGTGTTGTTGCTGTGTATTCTTTCTGTGCACCACAAGGATGGTGATCCTTTGTGGGTTGTGCCTTAAGAACATAAGAACCTAAGAGAAGCCAGTGTTGGATCAGGCTGCCAGTGGCCCCTCCAGTCCAACACCCCTGTGTCACACAGTGGGGGCCAGAAACACCAGGGGCCATCAGGAGGTCCAGCAACTTCCCCCCCCCCCACCATAGAGACCAATGAAGGGGATGGGGGCAACCTGTTTGGGGGCCCATAGAATTGATCCCCCTGGTACAATGTTCTTGAAACTTGGTGGGTATCTTGGGGAGAGGCACCGACAGCTCCCCTGTGAGTTTGGAGCCTCTCCCTCAAACCTCCTCCCCTCCAGCCCCCAGAATATACCCTATGTTTTTCCCATTGACTTCAATGGCTCATAGGATATAATGGGGCCGAAATTGACATTTGGCTGGCCAAAAGATTCCCCAATGGGCTGGTACTGGCGAAATTGACATGCGGGAGTCTTTCTGCCAGGCGAAATTGATTTTGCCGAATTCTGATGAATCTGAAGCAGGCCGATTTTTTTTTTTGGGGACACCTTTACTTGTGGCTAAGAGCCCCTGAGGGACCTCTGCTCCATATGCTTATCTGACTCCCTCTTAAAGAACCTAAGAGAAGCCAATGTTGGATCAGGCCAGTGGCCCATCCAGTCCACCACTCTGGGTCACACAGTGGCCAAAAACACCAGATGCCATCAGGAGGTCCACCAGTGGGGCCAGAACCCTGGAAGCCCTCCCACTGTTGCCCCCGCCCCCAAGCACCAAGAAGACAGAGCATCCCTTGCCCCAGACCGAGAGTTCCTATCTATACCTTGTGGCTGATAGCCACTGATGGACCTCTGCTCGATATGTTTATCCAGTTCCCTCTTGAAGCTGTCCATGCTTGTAGCCGCCACCACCTCCTGTGGCAGTGAATTCCAGGTGTTAATCACTCTTTGGGTGAAGAAGGACTTCCTTTTATCTATTCTAACCCGACCGCCCAGAAATTTCATGGAGTACCCACAAGGAGTTCTTGTCTTGTGAGGAAGGGAGAAAAGTACCTCTTTCTCTACCTGCTCTATCCCACGCATCATCTTGTAAACCTCGATCATGTCACCCCTCGGCCATCGTTTCTCCCAAGCTAAAGAGCCCTGAGCGCCTGTAACCTTTCCTCACAGGGAAAGTGCTCCAACCCTTTGATCCTTCCAGTTGCCCTTTTCTGCACTTTTCCCAATTCCATAATATCCTTTCTGTCCCGAGGGCTCGGTGTCCTGTGGAGCGTGGGTTTCCCAGGCCAAGGTGGGGGTGGGGGTGGGGTTGTCTGTCTCCATCCCCAGCCAGTCTGGGAGCAGTGTGGAAAGAGAGGCTGTATCGGGCAACCAAACCAGGACTTGGGTTGATCCCGGGTGGGGATGGGCTGTGCCTGGAATAAGGCCTAGGGGGTGAGGTGCCCCCCTCAGACTGCGTGAGGCCTCCCCCCCCCCGTGCCTTCTGGGCTTGTGGGTCAGTCTGTGGTGGGGCTGAGCGGGGGGCCTGGCAGTCGGCCGTCTTCCCCGCCCTCCCTCCCAGTGGTTCCGCCTCACCTGAACGGGCGGTTCAGTTGGAAGAGGTGGCGTTTGAGCTGGGCCCTCCTGGGAGAGAATGCGCTTGGTTCTTCTGACTGCCTCATTTGGTGCAGTGGTTGAGTGCGTGGACCCTAATCTGGGAGAACCGGGTTTGACTCCCCACTCCTCCTCCACTTGCACCTGGCTGGATGACCTTGGGCAAGCCATAGTTCTGACAAGAGCTGTCCTTGAAAAAGAGCCGTTTCTGTCAGAGCTCTCTCAGCCCCACCTACCTCACAGGGTGTCTGTTGTGGGGAGGGGAAGGGGAAGGAGTTTGTAAGCCGCTCTGAGACTAATTTGGGTAGTGAAGGGCAGGGGTAGCAATCTCCTCCTCCTCTTCTTCTTCCTCTTCTTCTTCTACCCAGTTTGCTGTAGTGGTTAAGTGCGTGGACTCTAATCTGGGAGAACCGGGTTTGACTCCCCACTCCTCCTCCACTTGCACCTGGCTGGATGACCTTGGGCAAGCCATAGTTCTGACAAGAGCTGTCCTTGAAAAAGAGCCGTTTCTGTCAGAGCTCTCTCAGCCCCACCTACCTCACAGGGTGTCTGTTGTGGGGAGGGGAAGGGGAAGGAGTTTGTAAGCCGCTCTGAGACTAATTTGGGTAGTGAAGGCAGCAGGGTATAAACTCAATCTCTTCTTCTTCTTCTTCTCTTTGTGTCCCTTTCTTCTCTCAAGGACACGGCGGGCCAGGAGCGCTACCGGACGATCACGACGGCCTACTACCGGGGGGCCATGGGTTTCCTCCTGATGTACGACATCTCCAACCAGGAGTCGTTCAGCGCTGTGCAGGACTGGTACGAGGCGATCTGGGGTGTGCTCCGGTGCCTGCCTCCGTGGCAGGTGCCACCTCTTGAGGGCCGCTGTATTTTATTCCCAGCGAGCTCCGCTCCGATGCCACCCTTGCCCCTCCCACTCGCCTCCCCTCTGCCCTGCCCTTTCCTTGCTTTGTGCCAAACGTTCCGCCTGGCCCAGAGAGCTCGAATGCCCGCCAGCTGCTTTGTGATGACTTGTGTGGGTCTGGAAAAGAGGGATCATACCACCGACCTTTTGCTGCTGGAAAAACCCTGACGGAAGGGCTGCTGTGTGACGGTGTGTCGTGTTGTGCGGTTCTCAGAGCTACTGTGAAAGCAGAGCCATTCGCAGGGGCAACTGGGCATTCGCACATTGGTTCCCTCAGCCCTTCGCAGCCACTATTTCCCCCTCTCCACCAGGGCTGTTTTTTAAAAAATCAGTACTTGTTCGCTCACTGTGGTGTCATAGCAATCTATCGTTATGGTCTAGTAGTTCCCAGCTTCCTTTTTTTTTAAAAGAAGAAGTACATTTGTAGCGTTTTTTGTTGCCGTGGGCTTCACCTTCCTCCTTATAACTCTGCAGAGAAAAGGGCTACAGACGCCTTTAACGCACGACAGCAGAGAACTAGTGGGTTGTTGCACTAGGTTGCGGGGGCTGAGGTGGGGGAAGTGACGGCCCTGCGAGCGGGAGCTGCAGCACTGCCCGCCTGCCTGTCCACGCAGGTTCCAGAAGTGCTCTGGCGGCAGTCTTTGCAAAAAGGTTGAACAGAAGCAGGTTGGGGAAAGATCAGAGCAAAGCGGAGGGAAACCCGGGAAGGAGCACAAGGCCAGGCAGTGTCTGGTGTACAGAAGCTGAGGCGGAGGAGAACATCTGTCTGTGTGTGCGTGGGGGGAGGGGGGAGAAACAGCCCCAGTGCTGGGTTTCCTGCCAGATCTGCGTGACCCTGACCCTCTCGCTCTCCTCCTCCTCCGCTCCTCCCCCCCAGGGCGACTCAGATCAAGACGTACTCCTGGGACAACGCTCAGGTGATCTTGGTCGGGAACAAATGTGACCTGGAGGACGACCGCGTGATCCCCGCGGAGGAGGGCAAGCGGCTGGCCGATGAGCTGGGTGGGTCCTGCCCCTCCCTCCTGTGTGCCCCCCCAATCAGTGTTCCCTCTAAGCTGAGTCAGTGTGAGCCAGCTCACAGTTCTTTAGCCTCCGACTCATGCATTTTTGTCTCCGCTCAGGAAGGATGTGGCTCCAGAGCAAACTGATCTACGCAGCAGCCAAATTGCTCACTCACCACTTTAATGCCACTAGCTCACAAAGGAGAATTTTTGCTCACAAGACTCCAGAGCTTAGAGGGAGCATTGCAGCCAGTGTTCCCTCTAAGCTAAGTCAGTGTGAGCTAACTCACAGTTTTTTAGCCTCCGGCTCACACATTTTTGTCTTCGCTCAGGAATGATGTGGCTCCAGAGCAAGCTGATTGACGCAGCAGCCAAATCGCTTGCTCACAACTTTAATGCCAGTAGTAGCTCACAAAGCAGAATTTTTGCTCACAAGACTCCAGAGCTTAGAGGGAGTGTTGGCAGCCAGTGTTCCCTCTAAGCTGAGTTAGCATGAGCTAGCTCACAGTTATTTAGCCTCCGGCTCACGCATTTTTGTCTCCGCTCAGGAAGGATGTGGCTCCAGAGCAAACTGATCTACGCAGTAGCCAAATCGCTCGCTCGCAACTTTAATGCCAGGAACTCACAAAGTAGAATTTTTGCTCAGAAGACTCCAGAGCTTGGAGGGAGCGTTGCCCCCCCCCACGTGTCTCTTGCTTTCCAGCTCTTCAAGGGTTGTATTTTTCTACTCATTATTTTTTGTTCTCTTCCAGGTTTTGAATTCTTTGAGACCAGCGCCAAGGACAACATCAACGTCAGGCAGGCCTTTGAGCGGCTGGTGGACATCATCTGCGAGAAGATGAACGAGAGCCTGGACGGCAGCCCGGGCACCGGGACGGGCAGTAACCACAAGGCCACGGCCCTCAATGAGGCCCCTCCTGCCCCGAGCAGCAGCTGCTCTTGCTAGAGAGGAGGGGGCCTGCCCTCCGGACACTGTGGCGGCCCTCTGCTGCCCTCCAGCCCAGGGGAAGGGGGGGGACGACTGGTTTCACGTGGGGGTGGGTCTGCTGGTTGGCGCCTCTGCCTTGTTTGCCCTCCCCCCCCCGGAAATGCCTCTTTGGCCTCTGCCAGCATGCGCCCGGGGCCCCGTCCACTCCCGCATCGCATGATCGGCCCCTTCTGGCAGAGAAGCATGATTTCTTGCACCCGTGCGCACACTGTGCCACTCAGGAGCTTGGGACACAGCCGCAGAGAATTCTCCTGACTTCTCGTCCGAGCGCCCGTGGGATCGCAGCGGTTCACTGTGCCGGCCGCTCTGGCCTTGGGGCTGGGCAGCGCCCCTCAGTGCCTGCAGGGATGTTCTTGTTGCCAGCCTGGCTTCTCCACGACGGAACCAATAAATCCAGTGGCCGTTTGGTGACGGGCGGGTGTCTTCCTTCTCCAACCTCTTAAAAGGGGATCAGGCAGAGGCGGGGGCTGCTTCTCTTCCAAGATGGTTTACCCCCGAGGTGGGCACAGGAAGTGCCAGTTCAGCTGCCACCTGGGAGGCACATGGGAGATGGGGGGGGGGGAGGCAGTTGGGCCTGGTCTGTTCCCACCCCCAGCCCCCGCTTCCAGAGCAGGGAGGACCCCTGCTGCTCTTCAGAAGTGGATTTTTTTTTTTGGCAGTGAGTTCATTCTGTTCCTTTCCAAGGTGGCTCTACTCACAAGGCTTCCAGTTCCTGACATTATCACTGTGATGGGAAACCCCCGGCCTGTGGAGGGGGGCGGGCATGCTGCAGAGGTACACGGCAACTAGTCTACCACTGGTCATGTCTTTACCCTACAGGCCATGGATCAAGACCGCTGACAAAGTCAAATTTAAAGCACACAACACACAATATGACCCCCTCCCCCCTCAAATGCCTGCCACTGACACCCCACGAGATCTTTTGGATCTGCAGGGCCATGAGAAAGTGTCTGAAATTAAGTTTGCATTTATTTATTTACTAGGAATAAGGCCCGTTGTGGAAATAAACACAATGAGCTGTAGAAAGAGGCTCTGGGTGGGTGCCCCAGCCTTGGGCAATCAGTGTCAATTTGCTGTGGCGACCTCAGCAGGGTATAATGACGCAGAGCTTACTGTTTTCTCCAGGAGAACTAATCTCTGCCACCTGAAGAGCAGTTGTAATTCTGAGTGATCACCAGCCCTCCCCTGGGGATTGACAACAATGGTTCCCCAGGAGTAAATTACTGACTTGGAGAGTGGAGTCTATGACATTGTACCTGTCTGAGGACCCACCCTTCCTCAAACCCCACCCTTTCCAGGCTCCACCCTTCAGGAATTTCCCAACCTAGAGTTGGCAACCCTATCTCCTTCCCAGCCAACCATCAACCTACCTTTCTCTGCCCCTCTGACTTCAGCTTTCCATCTCCTCCCCCTTCCCTGCAGCCTCTACCTGGGAAAAGTACAGTCTTTCTCCATAGTGGGGACCAAAGCAACTCACATCATACTCCTCTCCCCCCTTTGATCTGCACAACAACCCTGTAAGGTAGGTTAAAGTCTGTGAGTGGTCTGAAATCACCCACTCAGCTTCCACAGCAGGAACCTGGGTCTGGCAGACCCTGCTCTGAAGCGCTGCTATGTCACACTGGCTGTCATGGGGGGGCCACCTCAGCAGGGTATAATGAGACAGGGCCCACCATTTTCTCCAGGGGAACTGATCTCTACCATCTGGAGAGCAGTTGTAATTCTGAGTGATCTCCAGACCTCACCTGGAGATTGGCAACAATGGTTCCCCAGGAAGAACAGTACAGTCTTTCTCTGCAATGGGGACCAAAGCAGCTTACATCATTCTCTCCCCGTTTTGATCTGAAGTGCTAACTGCTATGCCACACTGGCTGTCCTATTTGAGAGCCAGTTTGGAGTAGTGGTTAAGAGCACAGACTCTAATCTGGGAGAACCGGGTTTGATTCCCCACTCCTCCTCCACATGCAGCTGCTTTTGTGACTTTGGGTCAGTCAGTCATAAGTCCTTTCAGAGCTGTTCTCTCAAGAGCTCTCTCAGCCCCACCTAACTCATGGTGTTGTGGGGAAGGGAAAGGGATCCAATCTCTTCTTCTAGAGGGGCTGCTGTAGGTGAACAGGAGCAAGCAGCCAGGCCTAGTTCATCAAGTCACCCAGAGGGTGCTGCTAGGTCTCAGGTAGCCAACCTCCAGGCGGAGCCTGAAGATCATCTGGTGTCACAACTGAACTGCAGACAACAGATCTCTCTCCCCTTGGATAAAACAACTGCTTTGGAGGGTGGACTCCATGGCATTCTATTCAGCTGAGGTCTCTCCCCTCCCCAAACTCTGGCTTCCGTAGACTCCACCATAAAATCTCCAGGAATTTCCCAATCTGGATCTGGCAACCCTATTCAGGACTGGCCCCAATGAGTTTTCTCTCAAAGGCCAAAATAGGCCTCGAAGGGGCTTCCCCCCCCCGCCACCTTTTACTGACAGAACCAAGTTTGGTTGCCTAGCAACAGCCACTGAAGGGAAAGTGAGTCTAGCAGCAGGAGGAGGTGAAGCGTCTTCCTCAGGAGAGACAGCCGTTTTGGCAAGTGGCCAGGCTGGCAGTGGGCAGGGGAGAGGAGTGGACCCAGCCCCCAGCCAATGGCACACGAGTACTCTTGAGTGGCGGTTGATGGGCCGGTAGCTGATGGAGCACACAACACAGCCAATGGGAGAGCTGGAAAGTGCCAATACGTTAGATTTTTATATATATCAGATAGTCCACTTTCCTCCCCAGCTGGGACTCAAAGCATCCTTCTCCCCTCCACCATTTCACCACAACCCCCCTGTGAGGTAGGTCCAGCTGAGAGTTTACGACAAGCCAGAGGTCACCCAGCGAGCTGCCATGGCAGAACAGGGGGTGGGGTTTCAAGCCCAGGTCACCCACGGAGTCCTAGTTTGCCACTCTGTCTGCTGTACCATGCTGGCCCTCGGGGAGGGACATTTCCTAATAATGGCCCATTTCTTCCAAAGAACCAGCGAATGTGCAGGGGGCTGGGAGGGGGCGGGCAAAGCTTTTGGAAGGAGAGAACCGCCTCCGGCAGAAGTCTGTGAAAGGCAGCAACCATCGGGGAGACCGAGGGTCCGCTAGCAGGGCCGGTTCCACGGGAGCGACTGGAGCTCTGATACAGGTTGCTCACTAGCACCACCACCCCCCAATCCAGAAAACTGGCATCCCGAGGCACCGCTTGGTCCAGGAGAGGATAAAGGAGGGGGAGGAAACAACCTTTTCTAAGTGCCAAGAGGGTGATGTTCTGCCTTGTCCCAGAGGGTGAATAAGGGAAACCTTAAAATAAGGATAGGTCGAGGTGGGCCAGCCGTATTTGGTCAGAAGCAACAGAACTAAGTGAGAGAGTCCAACGGCACCTTTAAGACCGACAGAGTTTTGTTCAAGATGTGAGCTTTTGTGTGCAGGCTGAGGAAGTGTTGCAGGCACACGAAAGCTCACGTCTTGAATAAAACTCTGTCGGTCTTAAAGGTGCCGTTGGACTCTTAAAATAAGCAGAAAATAAGTTGGCTTCAGAGGCAAGCATCTACCGGACGCAGACCTAGCCCAGTCGTCCCTCGAACAGAACCATAGAGCCATAGAATGTTAGAGTTGGAAGGGATCTTGCAGGTCATCTAGTCCAGCCCCCTCCTGCACTCTGCAGGAGCAGAGTCGTGGGGTGTCTTTGAATACGCAGCCTGGTCTTTAATAGCCCCCAGACACCCCACCCCCAGGGATTGCTGTTCTTCCACAAACCCCCGATCCCACCAAGCCTGCCAAAGAAGCGCAGCAACTTCCCTGACGTTTATTCTTTGCCCTTCTAGAGTCCCCCTTCCTCATTCACGGTGGATTCAAGTACGGGGGGGGGGGGCAATTCCAGTCAGTCAGGAAGTGGATTGCAGGATATGATGACATTTGACTCTTAAGAGCAAAGAGGAAGCTCACGATGGATTCCGAACAAGTAACTTCAAAGACCGGCCGGATCAAGCCGCGCTTCCAGCAGGGCCCCGGCTGGGTGGCATATTTTGGGTGAAAGAAAGAGAAGGGCCGAGACCTTGTAGCTGTGTTGATCCAGGGGAAAGTGCTGCCCTCATGTCACTAGGAGCAAGGATGGTTCTCCGGCCTCTTCCTCAGTGGGTGCAGAGGCCAGCTGGCGGAGCCGAAACTGAGCCGCCACTTCAAGGGCTTGTGCCGATCTGACCATACAGGGTCAAGGAGATGACCGTGGCAGCCAGCTGCAGGACAGGAGAAGAGACAGAACAGCGTGGTTGGACATGGGGCCACCTGGGACCACCGGCCACTCACCGACACAAAGACTCCATTGGCTGTTTTTCTTCCTCCCCCCCCCCATGGCAGAGCCTGGCAACTGGTCTGCCTCACACACGACTCAGGGGGCAACCCTAAACCCCCACCCACCCACCCCCACTCGTGGGCAGAGCCGCTGCAGCTCCATGAATCTTCCCGTGTAGAATCTGGAAACATTCCAGAGGAATCTGAGGGTTCTAAACATGCCCACGCCTCCCTGGCTCATCTTGTAGGATGGAAGCTGGGCTTGAAAACATTCACACAGACTGGCTGCAAACTGCCGGGATCTGCGGGGGGGGGTCCCTGCAGGGACAGAACTCTTCCCGCCCCCTCCTGCTGCTTGGTCCCTGCCCAGAATGCCCCAGACGGATTTGACTTTAGGGGGTGCGTCAGTTGCATCAGTTCCCTGCCCCCCCAGCAAGCAGAGCAAAGCTTTATGTTCACATCGCTGTAGCCATTACAATCGACGGGGGGGGGGGGAGCAAAACAAAACACGGCCCTTCCTCTTGAACATTTACCTTATTAGCTGCTTTAATTTAAAAAAATGGGAACCAACTGCTTCTTGGGGATGTGACTGCGTATAGCTGGCTTCTGCTTCAAACCTGCAGAACTTTCCCCAGAGCTAGACTCTGGACAGGAAAAAGCACCTCTGGACTGGACAGGTGTTCGCTGAGTGAGTGTGAGCCAGCTCACAGTTTTTTCACCTCCGGCTCACACATTTGTGTCTTCGCTCAGGAAGGAGGGCTCCGGAGCAAACTAATTTATGCAGCCGAATCGCTTGCTCACAACTTTAATGCCAGGAGCTCACCAAGTAGGATTTTTGCTCACAAGACTCCACAGCTTAGAGGGAGCCCCGGACTGGACACAGAGAGGCAGCTTTTGAGCACAGCCCCATGAACCTCCCTCACTGTCCTGACCACCCGGAGGGCAAACTCCTTGGACTGTCAGGGCCAGGGCTCATGCCGCCTTTCCCAGCTCCTCTCCCTGGATAGCGTCAGCAGGACTCCGCTCTTTCTCAGCACGCTTTGCAGGACAGGAGGGTCTTGTGCAATAAAGCCTGGAAAACAGGGCCGGCTGGAGGAGGATGTCCTTGCAGTTCGGAATGCTCAAAGAGCCATGTGGAGCAGCAAATTACAGTAGGCGTAACAGTCATAAATAGTACAGGAAAGGGGACCCAAAATGGGCCTGATAAAAGCAGCCAAGGGATGCGTGGAACAGTTTCTTCTGGGTCTTTGACGAGGACGCTGGAACGTGATCAAAGCCCAGCCCCACTCAGAGCTCATTGTGGGAAATGCAGGAATAGCGTTGCTACCAACCAGGCAACCCAGGGAAATCAAACAGCTGTGGATACGAGCCACCAGCGAACGCTTACCTCGAGAACCCCAGTCCCTAGACAGACCGCTCCGACAATCTTCCTGTTGCTTTTGAGGAACTCCTGGATTATTCGCAGGCATCCCTAGAGGAGAGTCCAGAGGCATGATGCTGCACGGGGGGGGGGGGGGTTTGAGGGGGGGGGGGGGGGGGGGGGGGGGGATTGAGATGTGGGGCTCTTCCCCCCTCGTACCAATTCTAGGTTAAGCAGAATCCACCCAGATGTCTCGACTTTCATAGGTCTCTGGCACAACCACATTTAGAACACCTGTTCTCTCTCTCTCTCTCTCTCTCTCTCTCTCTCTCTCTCTCTCTCTCTCTCTCTCTCTCAGAGTGGGAGAAAGAGCCAAAGATGGCACCCAAGATGATCAAGGAGTTGGAGCCCCTTTCCTAGAAGGAAAGGCGGAAGCACCTGAGACTGACCAGTTTGGGGCGGGGAAACAATACGGGGGCATGAGGGAGGTTTATAAAATCATGCATTGGGTGGAGAAAGTGGACAGAGAGAACTTTTCCGTCTCCTCCTGTAATACGAGAGCTGACCCAGCTGTGCTCTGAGAAGGAGCAGGAGAGGGGTGAGTGTTTTTCTTTTTCTTTCTTTTACTTGCTCCATAAACAGCTTTCTAAAGACTTGAGAAATAAAAAAAGACTCATTTAGGAAATGGAAGGGGGGCCTTATAACCAAGGATGAATTCCAACATCACCAGTGCTTGTAGAGAGAAAGTTAGGAAAGCTAAAGCTTAGGCTAGCGAGAGACGCTAAAAACAACAAAAAAGGGTTCATGTTCAGTGGTTAAGTGCGTGGTTTGGTGTAGTGGTTAAGTGCACGGACTCTAATCTGGGAGAATCGAGTTTGATTTCCCCACTCCTCCACTTGCACCTGGCTGGGTGACCTTGGGCAAGCCTAGTTCTGATAAGAGCTGTCCTTGAAAAGGGGCAGTTTCTGTCAAGAGCTCTCTCCGCCCCACCTACCTCACAGCCAGGTTGTTTGTTGTGGGGAGGGGAAGGGACTCTGAGACTCCTTCGGGTAGTGAAGGGCGGCAGGGTATAGATCCAATCTCTTCTCTCTTCTTCAAAGTAAGAAAAGGATCAAGGACATGGTAGGCCCATTGTGGGGACAGGAAAGTGAAATTGTAACAGGTGATGAAGAGAGGGCAGAACTGCTCAATTCCTACTTTTCCTCAGTCTTCTCTTGCGAGGGAAACGGTGCCCAGGGAGTCGCAGCCTAGGATCGGCATAGGGGTAGTACATAAACACCTAGCTTCTTCAAATGAAACGAAGTCCTCAGGGCCAGATGAGCTGCATCCAAGGGTACTAAAAGAACTCATGGATGTAATTTCTGAGCCTCTGTCCATTATTTTTGGAGAACAGGTGAAGTGCCGGAAGACTGGAGGCGGGCAAATGTTGTCCCCATCTTCAAGAAGGGGGAAAAGGCGGATCTGGGTAACTACTGACCCGTCAGCTGGACGTCTATACCTGGGAAACTTTTAGAACAATTAATCAAACAGAAGAACAAATTCAGAGTCCAGTCGGGCACCTTTAAGACCAACCAAGGTTTATTCAAGGTAGGAGCTTTCATGTGCAAAGCACACTTTTTTCAAATACAGTGGAATGGGATGCAAGGTTCAAACAGACAGTCCTTGAGCCTTTAGAAAGGATGGCTGTGATTAGACCTCACCTATAGTTTTGGGCACCACAATTTAAGAAGGATGTAGACAAGCTGGAATGTGTCCAGAGGAGAGCAACAAAGACAGTGAGAGGTCTGGAGACCGAGTCCTATGAGGACAGGTGGAAGGAGCTGGGTGTGTTTAGCCTGGAGAGGAGACGACTGAGAGGGGATAGGATAACCATCTTCAAGTCCTTGAAGGGCTGTCCTATAGAGGATGGTGCGGAGTTGTTTTCTGTTGCCCCAGAAGGTCGGACCAGAACCAACAGGTTGAAATTAAATCAGAAGAGTTTTTGGCTAAACATGAGGAAGAACTTCCTGACAGAGCGGCTCCTCAGTGGAACCGGCTTCCTCCTTGGGAGGCGGTGGGCTCTCCTCCTCTGGAGGTTTTCAGACAGAGGCTAGATGGCCCCCTCTGACAGCCATGTGGATTCTGTGAACTTGGGCAGATCACGAGAAGGGAGGGCAGGGAGGGTCGCAGCCTCAGGGCTTAGTTCTCGTGGCCCTTTCTTACACGCCCTGGGAAATGCTGGTCACCACGTTGGGGTCAGGAAGCAATCCTGGAGGGTTTTTTTGTCATCTGGGTGTGGAACAGGGGTCACTGAGGGTCTCCTGCCTTGTGCAGGCATTGGATTAGATGACCCTGGAGGTCCCTTCCAACTCTATGATTCTAAGTACTTTCTTACTCAACAAGTAATCAAAGTGTGGATTTCGCTGCCATTGGAGGTAGTCATGGCCATGATGAGCACAGATGGCTTAAAAGAAGACCAGATAAAACCAATGGAGGAATGACCTGTCAGTGGCTGCTTGTCATGGGGACTAAAAGGAACCTCCACATTCAGAAGCAGTCAGCCTCTGAATCTCAGTCCTGGGAGGCACATCAGGCCTTGGCCTCTGTGTCCTCTTTGCTGGCCCTCCGGAGGAACTGGGTGGCCCATGTGAGGCAGGATGCTGGACTAGAGGGACCCTCCCTGGTCTGATCCAGCAGGGCTCTTCAGATGTTCTTATAAGGGGAAGGTCTCAGCTTGTACGCCCTGTTGTTGGCCCTCCAGAGGAACTGGTTGTCAAGTCCTGGAGGAGATGTCTGTCAGTGGCTTCTAACCATGGTGACTGAAGGGAACCTCCGTGCTAAGAGGCAGTCGACCTCTGAATCCCAGAGCCAGGAGGCAACATCAGGGGCAGGCCTCGGCCTCTCTGCCCTGTGGTTGGCCCTCCAGAGGGACTGGCTGGCCCCTGTGTGAGACGGGAGGCTGGACTAGAGGGACCCTCCCTGGTCTGACCCAGCAGGGCTCTTCTGGCGTCCTTCTCAGGGGAAGGCCTCGGCCTCTCTGCCCTGTGGTTGGCCCTCCAGAGGGACTGGCTGGCCCCTGTGTGAGACGGGAGGCTGGACTAGAGGGACCCTCCCTGGTCTGACCCAGCAGGGCTCTTCTGGCGTCCTTCTCAGGGGAAGGCCTCGGCCTCTCTGCCCTGTGGTTGGCCCTCCAGAGGGACTGGCTGGCCCCTGTGTGAGACGGGAGGCTGGACTAGAGGGACCCTCCCTGGTCTGACCCAGCAGGGCTCTTCTGGCGTCCTTCTCAGGGGAAGGCCTCGGCCTCTCTGCCCTGTGGTTGGCCCTCCAGAGGGACTGGCTGGCCCCTGTGTGAGACGGGAGGCTGGACTAGAGGGACCCTCCCTGGTCTGACCCAGCAGGGCTCTTCTGGCGTCCTTCTCAGGGGAAGGCCTCGGCCTCTCTGCCCTGTGGTTGGCCCTCCAGAGGGACTGGCTGGCCCCTGTGTGAGACGGGAGGCTGGACTAGAGGGACCCTCCCTGGTCTGACCCAGCAGGGCTCTTCTGGCGTCCTTCTCAGGGGAAGGCCTCGGCCTCTCTGCCCTGTGGTTGGCCCTCCAGAGGGACTGGCTGGCCCCTGTGTGAGACGGGAGGCTGGACTAGAGGGACCCTCCCTGGTCTGACCCAGCAGGGCTCTTCTGGCGTCCTTCTCAGGGGAAGGCCTCGGCCTCTCTGCCCTGTGGTTGGCCCTCCAGAGGGACTGGCTGGCCCCTGTGTGAGACGGGAGGCTGGACTAGAGGGACCCTCCCTGGTCTGACCCAGCAGGGCTCTTCTGGCGTCCTTCTCAGGGGAAGGCCTCGGCCTCTCTGCCCTGTGGTTGGCCCTCCAGAGGGACTGGCTGGCCCCTGTGTGAGACGGGAGGCTGGACTAGAGGGACCCTCCCTGGTCTGACCCAGCAGGGCTCTTCTGGCGTCCTTCTCAGGGGAAGGCCTCGGCCTCTCTGCCCTGTGGTTGGCCCTCCAGAGGGACTGGCTGGCCCCTGTGTGAGACGGGAGGCTGGACTAGAGGGACCCTCCCTGGTCTGACCCAGCAGGGCTCTTCTGGCGTCCTTCTCAGGGGAAGGCCTCGGCCTCCCTGCCCTGTTGTCGGCCTACTTTCTTGCATCTCCCCCATCCCTTGTTTGCCTGCAAAATAAATACTCCGCACAATCCCTAACAAAAATGCCCCCTTCAAATATTTAATCCATCCCACCCCCCACATTGTAGCACGTGGGTGGATGGCTTCAATTAAAAAACCCTACAACTTTTAGTACAGAAGTTTCCTGTTCTCACCAAAGAATAGGTCACCTCAGGTCCTCTGTTGCCAGAGAACAGTCCACCCTTACGTTGCCTCGCCTCGCTGTTCCTGGACATAGGAATTTCAATCTTGTTCATGTTTTATGTCACAGGAGCCTCATTTAGGTTACCTGTCTCACGGTTAACACAGTTATTCCAGAGGGTAGCTGCATTAGCCTTTTGCAACAAAATGAAACAGGCGCCCAGTGGCACCTAAAAAGACTAAAAAAATCTGTTCAAGAGAAAGGTTATGAGCACCACCGATTAACACAAAACCAAGTTACCTGCTTAAGGTGGTCTATGTCGTCATCATAGCATGATTTACCATTTCGGCAGCACGAGGCAGGGTAGTCATACCAGACCTTAAGGCGTTGGAAGGCGGAATTGTCAAAGTCTGTATAGTTGTGGAATCCGCAGCACTCCAGCTAGAAGAAAGATCCACCATGCGAGTGGCTCCCATTTTATGTCACCAGCCCTGGAGAGGCTGGGCGGCGGCGGCCGGCAAGGAGGCCACCTTCTCCTAGCGGTTCTGTGAAGATCTTCCCTGCAGCAGAGGAGCACTTGGGCATGGCTGACTGCCAACATCTTCAGTGGCTCCAGCCGCCGCGGGGAATGTATTTATCACTGGTTTCCTGCTCTCCAAAGCCAGTTAAAACCACTATCAATATACGAAGTTAAAATACAATATGCCAACAATAGCATCCAAATCAAGCATCCATAATACAAACTTCCATCCACTGTATGGAAGGAGGTGTGCAGATGGAGGCTGGCTTCAGATTTGGGGGGGGGCGCTGGGCAGCTGCTACTCCACAGGGTACACTGATGCCAGCCCGGGTGCCAGTGTGTGGTGCTGCCAAGGGCATGAATCAGGGTTGGGGGGAGCTGGCCATCCCTCTGCCAATAGTCCCCCCCCCCCCCCGTCTCCAGCTGCTCTGAGCTGTTTGCACAAGAAGACACTTTGTGCATGGTGACCACTGGACTTGCCACAGGCAAATTGTGTTTAACCAGATACCATGCAGTTGTGGACAAGTTTACATTGGGACCACACAGCGTAGTGTTCAGACAAGAATAAAAGAACATGAGGAGATTGGAGGAGGAGATTGGATTTATACCCCCACCCTTCACTCGGAGCCTCAGAGCCTCAGAGCGGCTTACAAACTCCTTTCCCTTCCCCTCCCCATAACAGACACCCTGTGAGGTGGGTGGGGCTGAGAGAACTCTGACACAAACTGCTCTTTCAGGAACAGCTGTGCCAGAGCTTGTGACTGACCCAAGGTCACATCAGCAGGTGCAAGCGGAGGGAATCAAACCCGGTTCTCCCAGATTAGAGTCCGTGCACTTAACATGAAAGACACTGCAGACCTAACCCAGACCCTAACCCTAACCTGAAAGATCAGCAGTAGCTGAACATAGCCTGACTTAAACAGGACACAGTATTTTGTTCCAAGACACTGAAAGGGCTGGACAACACTTCCAATTGCCATGTCAGATTACACAGGGAAGCCATTGGAATCCATAAACATAAACACCATTTCAACAGAAAAGAAGAAAGTTTAAAAATAAATAGGGCATGGTTTCCTGTCCTGAAAAACACAAAAGGCTCTACGTCGGACAGTAGCACTACAGATAAGATTAGAATTTCAACAGCCAATCCACATACAAAAGAACCTCCTCAGGAAACAATCCATATGCAAAAGAACCTCCTCAGGAAAGCTCCTCCATTAGCATGTTCATAGCCTAGGGAACTCCTACAAGATAATGACTCAGCCCTACCTTCTGGAGTAGATATAAATTACCTGCCTACCATTTTCTTCTCACCTTGACACAGAGAGTATTCCATCTTTCTGTGTTTATACCTATGAGGATGCCAGTCACAGTTACTGGTGAAACGTCAGATTCTACAGTGCCAAGACCACGGCCAGACAACCTGGAAAATCTACAGCAACTAATGAACTCCGGCTGTAAAAGCCTTCGACAACATAGAGACAATTCTGTTGCAAGACCTGTTTCAGTCTGACGATTGGAAGGCCCTCTCTCTTTCTCTCTCTCTTTCTCTCTCTCTCTCTCTCTCTCTCTCTCTCTCTCTCTCTCTCTCTCTCTCTCTCCCCTCCCCCGCTGCGCTCTCTCTCTCTCTCTCTCTTTCTCTCTCTCCTCCCCCCACCCCCAAATCAGAGTACTAGGTATCAGGGAACGGAATGAACTGCCGGCAGTCATTATTCACACTGCTCTTTTGCTATGCTAATAAACACAGCCAATGGAGTGTTTTCAGTTTGTTTCCCATTCGTTTGGAAGTGAAGGCACATCCCCCATTAAATCGGAAAACTAGCTCCTTCGGCCGCTTGAATGACACCAAACTGGCCGGCCACAGGAAGGAGGAGACTGGCACCTTCCTGCCTACATTCAGCATGTCCTGGGACTGGACAGAGTGTGACTTCCAGATTCCTTCAACAGCTCCGCTGCAGAAGCAAGGCTTAGGAGGGAGCCTACTTCTTCTTCCGATGTGGTCAGAATCCAGAGTTTGCCACTTCAGTTACCTCCTTCATTGTGGCGTCCCAGACGGCTGTGATGTCCTCTTCCTGTCCATAGTCCTCTTTTAAAGTCTTCAAGGCCCACGTCTTTAAATGTGCAACAAATACATCTGCCTGGACACAAGAGGCAGACCAGTAAGCAACCAGTTCCGCCACACCCCCCCCCCCCAATGTTCCCTCTCTTTTCTTACCTCCCATTTCTGACTTCCCATTCCTCAGGGAGAAAGGCAGGTTGAGAAACAGACATTGGAACCGAAAAGCAAAAGATGGCAAAACAACACTAGAGTTTGTGTGCAAATATCACTGCGCCAAATGAGCAAATATTCTAAAATGATGGTACGTTCTAAGGAAACTCTAAAAATGCTGTTTTTCTTTCTGCTCTCCTTTGTTTGGTTCTGTTTTTGCTTCTCCCTGTCTCAGCTTCCGGAGAGATGCACCCCTTTGGTCTGTCTCTCCACTTTCTGCAAGTAAATGAAAACACCCTGTTTGCAGAGCATTTTGCCAGACTCTGCAGCAAGTGACAACGGTGCTTTAGCCTTGCTCCTGTTTACACTCCTTGGGGAAGTAAATATAGCCAATTGTTAATGGTTTAAAGGACAGTGTGTGTGTGTGTGTGTGTGTGTGTGTGTGTGTGTGTGGCCTGTAGGTCACCTTGAGCCCCGCTGGGCTGGAAAGGCACTTAAGAAACTTTATTTAATAAAGCCCTGAGGATTCAAAGGAGACAACCCCAGATTTTTGTCATGAGGTGATTTTACCATTCAGGTTTGGAAGGAAAAGAAGACGTGGGGGTCTGAACCGAAGTGGCCCCCCGGTGCCCATTTGCTGGCATTTCTGCTGGCTGAATGCCAACTCCCACCCCAGGGGTCCTGCTGCCCAGCTTTCTTGTCCCCAGGGACCCCCGTGCTCCCCCAGCGCCCACACGCAGCTCTCCTCCCCCCTCCCAGCCAGAGAGTTTCCAAGTGAGGCGTTGGACGCCTGGAGCGGGGCGGTTACGTCCTGCCGCTGCCTCCCCTGCAACCGTGCTGGCATTCCCCACCCACCGTCAGACCGCCTCTCCTTGCAAAACCTGGATTGCAGAAGCCAGCACACGGCTGTTGCTTCAGGGCCCGTGCCAGTAGCCACATTGACTCACCGTCGTGGAGAAAGCCAGGACCGCGGACGCCAGTTCCGCTAGGAAGAGGGCCGCCATGAGCAGAGAGACCTGGAAACAGAGAGACAGCAGCGTGTCCACAGCCAGCCGTGGAAGCAGAGGAAGGAGTCTGCCACGTTGGCCACAGGAGGTGGGTGGGAGGGTGGACGGCCCCTCAGAGGATGGCTGGGTCCACCGCAAGGACAGGGAAACTGGGAGATGGGCCAAGTGCCCTCTGCTGGGGTTGGCAAAAGGGGTGCCCCCGTTTTGGCTACCCAAGTGTCTAGGCGCTTCTTGCTTACGTCAAGGCTCCCCACCCTTCCGGGTGGCCACCACGTGTCTTGAGAAAGAGGTGGGGCTTTTGCCCAGCGAGCTCCCTCATTGGCCACTGGAGATCTGATTGCCTGTGGACTTCCGGTTGATGGTGGCACGCTAACGGACCTATCGCCCGGACCTCCCAGGGGAAGGTCTGTTCTCTGGCTGAGGGAGGGGGTGTGCAGGCTCGCTAACCCCCCCAGGGACCCGATGAAGGGGCCCTGGCTAGGGAGCTCTCAAGAGGCAGCCTCGCTCCGATGGTTCCTCAAGCTGTGAGACCGAACGGTGCTAGTGATGCTGACCAGAGCAAACGCAGGAGATCCAGCGATTAAAATGAAGTTAAAAGCGGGGTCGGAAGACCAGCAATGAACGTGAGTCGACTTAAAGGCGAATTTAAGACTAAAAGATAGCTCCTCACCCTATTGCACTGAACGGGGAAAAGGCGAGCGGGGGGAGGGACGCCTCCCTCATGCACAAACTTTTTAAGCAAGGGGGGGGAGCAGAAGAAAACGCGGAAAAAACTGTCTGGAGGCAGTTACCCGAGTGAGTTGAAGCGCTCAAGTGCATATTCAGAGACTTTTGAAAAGTCAGAAAATGTAAACAAGCAATAAAGATGGCGGGGAAGAAGGACAAAGAAAGACTTTTGAAAGCGAAAGGACTGGATAGTCCTAAACGGGAAGTTACCAGTGAGACGGCGAAAGCTGTAGCAGAGTACATGCGCCCTCTGCTGGAACAGCTGAATAACTTCAAAGAACAGATGTCAAAAGTAACACAAAGCATAACTGCAACACAAGCCCAAATTGGTGATGTGACACAAATCATGAAGCAGGATGTTGAGAAGATAAAGGAGGTGGCTATAACTATGCAAAAAGTAAAGAAGAAGGTACAAAAGCTTGAAGAGAAGACAACCTCTTTGGAAGATCAAATGCTACAAGTACAAATGGAAAAGGCCAGCATGGTTCTTTGCTTCCAGGGCACGCCGGAAAAACCAGGTGAGAATCTTAAAGAAGTTATGAGCGAACTGCTAGCCCCAGTGACAGAAATGAAAACAGAACTGTTGGCAAATGAAATGGATTTGGTCTATAGATCATATTCAGGATATATAAAAAAGAACAATCTGCCTGGGGAAATAGTTGTGAGATTCTCGAAGAGGCATGTGAGGGATGCAATCCTGAAAGCGGTTTCTGGAGCTCCCCTGAAAGTAGGAGAAAGTGCTATCAGAACGCTGAAGAATATTCCATCTGAAGTCAGACAGCGGAGAAAGAAGTACAAGGAGCTGGTGCTTTTTCTTCAGACAAATTCAATTGGATACAAATGGTTATTTCCAGAGGGAGTCACTTTCAAGATCAAAGATAAAAAAGAAAAGATTGACTCTGAGACAAAAGCCAAAAAGTTTTTAAAGGCTCAGCTGGGAAGATCAGAGGACGAGAAGAAGAAGAGAAGAAGAAGAGAAGAGATTGGATTTATACCCCGCCCTTCACTTGGAGTCTCAGAGCGGCTTACAAACTCCTTTCCCTTCCCCTCCCCACAACAGACACCCTGTGAGGTGGGTGGGGCTGAGAGAACTCTGACACAAACTGCTCTTTTTCAAGGACAGCTGTGCCAGAGCTTGTGACTGACCCAAGGTCACGTCAGCAGGTGCAAGTGGAGGAGTGGGGAATCAAACCCGGTTCTCCCAGATTAGAGTCCGCACACTTAACCACTACACCAAACTGGAAAGAAGGGGATAGCAAGTCTAGTGGCGAGCTGGACTCTGGTTCTTCCGGAGAGGACTCTCTGGCTGAAAAGGGGGCAGCTGCCCCAAAAAGTCCTTACAAGCTACGAAAAAGACGGGGAACAGAGAAGTAGAGGCTGAAGGACTCTGATTTGTGCCTTGGAAAACGATGAAAAGGGATGACTGGGTGTGTGTGTTATCTTTAGACAGGGAAGGTGTAATAGTTAAAGAAAAGGGAAAGTACTATCAAGGATTGACTTTTATGTTTAAACGAAGGGAAGATTTAATGTAACTAAGCCAATGAAGATCTCCTCTCTTGGGTTTTTAGGCAGTGTGGGTATCTTTTCTTTATCCCGTATATGTAGTACCCCTTCCTGTTTTTTCTGGGGTAGTTTTTTGTAGTTTGAAAAAATAATAAAAAATCCCCTCCGGAGGCTTAAAAAAAGAGAGAGATTTGATTGGCTGTGCAGATTTTTATTTTTATTTAAATGTTGCTTTGGCAGCAGGTGTGACCGCAGCACCCTAACCCTAACCCTCTTCTGGACACGCTCGTGAACAACCAGAACACCCAGATCCCTTTCACGTGTGCTGCTGTCAAGCCAAGTCCCTCCCATTCTATATCTGTGCCTTTGATTTTTTGTACCTAAGTGTAGGGCTTTGCACTTCTCTCTACTGAAATTCGCGGGGACCCTTCCAGAAACACTCCTGTCTGGAAAGGGGGTCAGGTGTGGCCACGCCTGAGCCCTCTAGCTGAGTGGACCCACAGGACATCCAGACACCAGCCCACCCCGGCCTTTCTTCAGCCCACCTACCATCCCCAGCAGGCATTTTCTTTCTCTCGCGGCCCCCCAGCATCCCATGAAGCCCGCCAGGGCCGAGAAAGAGCCGGCAGCGATGCACAGGTAGTGCGCGTGGGCCACCCGCTGGGCCAGTGGTGGCGCTCCCACGTCCAGGACCTCTGCCACGGGGCCTCGATGATTCAGGCTCAGCCAGATGCCAATGTGCAGCATCGCCAGACCTCCCAGCTGGGCAGAGAAAGGAGAGAACAGAAAAGGGCACATCTACGCCAGGAAGGCCAAATGCGGCCATGCGGCCTTGGTTTTCATACGGTCACGAAAATATTTCCTCCCCCCCCCCCCCCGCCCTAGCAGGAACAGCCCTTTCCTTCCTTTTGAGGGTGGAATTGCATGTTATGCTGAAAGACGGGTTCTTCCTGAACGGGGAGGGGAGAACCCCATGGATTGTGCTGGTCTGGTCCCCTTGGAGGAAAGCAGGGAGAGAGAGAGAGACGCCCAGGATCCAGAAAAAAACACTGCGTGTTAATTGAGATCAGCGTCCTATCTGAATCGTGATATGCTTAAGACTTGTTGTCTAACTTTTATGAAAATGAGAGCTTTGGCACCTCTATAATATCTCCTGAAGAAGATTCATTTTTTGAAACGTTGGTAAATAATCCGGAGACAACGTTGTACCTTGGTTTATAAATTCTATTAAGTTGTGTATCATATTGTAATGCTTCAGAGCACAATACATGTACAACAATTCTTATAAGTCTTATGACTGTTGATTGCGGGTCAGACTATCACGACTGTTGGCTTTATATAGGGGTAGAAATGAGACAGGCCATCTGCAGGTTGCCATGAAAGCATTTGCAGGGGAGGGGTAGCGGCTTGCCTTGAGAAGTGCCACCCCACCCCCACCCCAGAAGATTTTTCTCTCAGGAGCAGAAACACACCTCCTCCCTTTTGCACCGACCAGTTCTGTTTGGCAGAGGTGCATCTCCCCCAACCACCACCCCGGGCTAAGATAAACACGATGGTGTCCCTTGCAACGGCTGCCATCTTAAAGACATTCTAAAATGCCGTGAGGGTCCTGTAAGGACCGGCCCTGCAGTGCGGTGCTCGTCTTTCCCTCCCACGCTGTTCCAAGCACCAAAGCAGCCATGGAGGGGGGGGGGACCGGTTCCCCGCATGGCTGTTCCCACAGGAGGAGAGGAGGGCCACGCTGCGGCATTCTAGTTAGGGGGTGGCAGTGTCCTCATGGGGGCCACCGGGCGGCTGCTGTCACCTGCCGTTTGGCCCTCCATTTGCATAAAAGAGGGCTGGGAGGGACCCCCGTCCCAAAAAGAAGGGCTCCGACGGCTTTTGACCCACCCGCCCGTCAGTGCAGAAGAGAAAGTGGAGGAGAAGCATTTGCCATGGTAGACGGGGTCATTGGAAGCGTGGCCTGCTTGGGGGTTCTGAAAGGACGCACCCTCCCCCCCCCCCCGGTGCCGCGGCACCCCTGGTCTGGCTGAAGGGTTCAGTCCCCTCTCCCTGGCCCAGGCAGCCAGGGGTGCATCTCACAGGCCCTCACCCGCGTCTTTTCCTGCGCTGCTCTTGCCGCGGAACTTGTGTCCTGCTGTGCCACGACCAGAGACGACAGCAGTGGGAGGCTTGTGTGGGGACGGGATGCAGTGCTCCCTCTAAGCTGCGTTAGTTGTGAGCCAGCGCAGTTTTTTAGCCTCCGGCTCACACATTTTTTGTCTCAGCTCAGGGAGGATGAGCTCCAGAGCAGACTAATTTATACAGTAGCCAAATCTCTCGCTCACAACTGTAATGCCACTAGCTCACAAAGTAGATTTTTTTTTGCTCACAAGCAGGGGTCATTTCGTAGAAAAAGAGGTGCAGGAGCTCATTAGCATAGCTCATTAGCATAACCTATTTGCATATGCCACACACCCCTGAAGTCACCGGAAGCGTGTCAGAAGGCAGCACCCACCGCTCAGGCTCCACTGGACTCTTTTGGATTGCTAGCTATTGGGGGGGGGAACGTGCAGATCTGTCCTCACAGAGGAGGGAGAGCTTGTGCCTGAATAAAACTTGGTCTGAAAGGTGCCACTGGACTGTTTTGGACCGGGGGCCGGAGCTCCGCTCCTGTGTGCTCCTGCAGGAAATGACTCCTGCTCACAAGACTCCGCAGCTTAGAGGGAGCATTGGAGGGGAGCTCAGGCTGGGGAGGGGGGGGCTCCGGAAGCTGGGAGGGGCTGGATACTCCCAGTCGAGGGGCTGAAGGCCAGATTGCTCTCCCCACCCCACCCCACCCCACCTGTCTGGCCCTAGAAAACCCTCCCTGTTGTTGCTGGGTTCCTGCGGGGCACCTTCCAAGCGAGCAGTCGTGGGCGTGCGCTGTTTTCAGACTGGTGGGTGGGTGGGTGCCCACCGCTTTAAGGAGCAAATCACTGAGAAGGGCCCAAGTGATGCTCCCAGCCCTCCCTCCCTCCCTCCCCCCCCACTGGGGTGGCAAAACGGGCAGGCCTCTGCCCCTCACAGGGGGATCTCCTGGGATCACGATCGGTCTCCACCAGGTTGCAGAGGTCGATCCCCTGGAGAAAGTGGCTGCTTCAGAGGGTGGGCTCTCCGGCATTGTACCCTGCCGAGGCCCCTCCCCTCCTTCAACCCCACCCTCTTCTGGCTCCACCCCCCAAATATCCAGGCGTTTCCCAGCCGGGAGCTGCCAAACTCTCCAGCCCTGCCCGGGAAGCTGTAGGACTCGGCCTGAAGCTTCCAGTGTGTGGCGTGGGGAGGAGAAGAAGGACCGGGGGGGGGGGGAGAGGATGAGACAAGTGTTCCCTCTAAGCTGAGTTAGTGTGAGTTAGCTCACAGTTTATTAGCCTCCGGCTCACACATTTTCGTCTCGGCTCAGGAAGGAGGAGGGCTCCAGAGCAAACTGATTTATGGAGCAGCCAAATCGCTCACTCACAACTTTAATGCCGGCAGCTCACCAAGTAGAATCTTTGCTCACAGGACTCCACAGCTTAGAGGGAGCCTCCCCCCCCCCCGAGCCCCTTTGCCTGCTCCAGCCCAGCTGTGGCTGTGGGCAGCAAACGGGTGGCAGAACGTCCGGTGGAGTGGATTTTTCTCCTCTCTGCCCCGAGGCCCCCTTGGCACTACTCTTCAGCACAGGCGTTTTGGAACACGCAGCCTCTCCCCCCACCACCGTCTTGCCCCACCCTCTCATACTCACAGATGTCACCCCATTGAGCGCAAACACCACCGTCTTCAGGGAGGAGACGCAGCGCATCGTGCGGTGCCTCTGCGATGGGGAAGAAGTCAAGAGAACAGCCAGTCCTACGTTGAGTCCAGTCAGGCAGAGAGATCAAAAGAAGGTCCACAGATTGGCAAAGGCCTGGCCGGGGCAGGTGCAGTTCCTGCTCAGAGACGGGATGTAGGAAAGATCTGTGAGTGGCAGTAAATTAGCATACAAATACAATAGTTAACAAACAGGTGTGGGAAGGAGGATTGAGTCCAGTGGCATCTACAAGACAAAAGAAGTTCAGTTGTGGGTACACGCGAGAAGGGAGAGACTTAGCGTGTACACCCCTTCAGATTCATTGAAACAGATTTCCTATATGTTACATACAGGTGGGGGGGGGGGTTAGTTGCCAGGAAGAGCCAATGGAGTCAAGATGCCTAAGTAACTGAGCAATAAATACAGCTAAGATCGGAATAACATATTAGGTTAGACATGTAAATAGCAGTACATTGGTATACAGATAATAAAGCAGTTAACAACAGATGTGAGATCTAAGTTGGAGTCCAGTGGCACCTTTAAGGCCAACAAAGTTTGATTTCTGGGTATAAGTGAGAACTGAGAGACTTAGTATGTGTAGTGAGATGAGAAGCCGATATCTCTGTTAAGTCCTGGGGGGGTTTCCATTGTTTTGAGTGTTGTAATGACTTGTAATTCAGCAGTCTCCCATTCCCGTCTGTTTCTGAAATTCCTTTGCAATAAAACAGCTGCTCTGAATGCCACCACCAACCTGACAATGAACCAATCTATGCAAGAAATACATTGTCTGGACACTACTGTAAAAATACACAATGGATGCATAGGCACCACCCTTTACCAGAAACCGACTGACTGACAAACAAACCTACCACCATCCTAAACACACCAAACAATCTATTGTACACAGCCAGGCTCTGTGCTACAGCCACATCTGCTCCAATCATGCAGACAGAGAGTCTTGCCTGAGGGATCTACAACAGACCTTTTTGGAACTAAAAGTCAAGACCTGATGAAGTCAACAAACAGATCAAGAAAGCCAGAGTGGGACCCAGAGAACACCTGTTGCAAGACAGACCCAAAAGAGGCAATAACAGAACACTGCTAGCGGTCTCATACAGTTCTCCTCAAAACAGTTCAATGCGTCATCAGCAACTTACAACCTCTACTGGATAAAGAAAGTTCTCTTTCACAAGTACTGGGGGGCAGACCTTTTCTTGCACACAGACAGCCCCCCAGTCTCAAACAAATCCTCACCCACAATAATATGACATCTAATTTGAGCATGGACACTGGCACTAAAGCTTGCAGTAAACCCAGATGCCAACTTTGCTGCCACAGACACCCAGACAACACAGTCACTGGACCTAACAACATCAACAACGCCATCTCAGGCTTATTTACTTGATCGTCTTCCAATATTGTGTATGCCATTAAATGCCAACAGTGCCCTTCAGTTCTCTACATAGGACAAACAGGTCAAACCCTACGCCGAAGGATAAATGGACACAAATCTGACTTCAAGAACCACAAGACTGAGAAACCTGGAGGGGAACACTTCATCCTCCCAGGGCACTCAGTGGGGGACCTCAAAGTATCTGTTTTATTGCAAAGGAAATTTCAGAAACAGACGGGAGCAGGAGAATGTTGAATGGCAAGTTATTACAACACTCAGAACAATGGAACCCCCAGGACTTAACAGAGATATTGGCTTCTTATCTCACTGCACGTGCTAAGTCACTTAGTTCTCACTTATAACCAGAAAACAAGCTTTGTTGGTCTTAAAGGTTTTACTGGACTCCAGCTTAGTTCTCACATCTGTTGTTAACTCCTTTATTATCTGTATACCAATGTATTGCTATTTACATGTCTTACTTAGTGTGTTATTCCAATCTTAGCTGTATTTATTGCTCAGTTTCGTAGGCATCTTGACTCTATTAGCTTTCCTGAGCAATTAACCCTACGTATAATATATAGGAAATCTGTTTCAATGAATCTGAAGAAGTGTACATACCAAGTCTCTCAGTTCTCGCATGTACCCACAATTGGACTTCTTTTGTCTTGTAGATGCCACTGGACTCAAACCTCCTTCCCACACCTGTTTGTTAACTCTTGTATATTTACTGCCACTCACAGAACTTTCTTACATCCAGTCTCAGCTATAATCACCCAGCTTTTGCACACAAAAGCTTATACTGTGAATAAAACTTTGTTGGTCTTAAAGGTGCCACTGGACTCAAATTTTGTTTTGCTGTTTCAGACCAACACAGCTACCCCACCCAAATCTACCTTACTCACATAAGAACATAAGAGAAGCCCATGATGGATCATGGCCCATCTAGTCCAACACTCTGTCACACAGTGGCCCAAAACACCAGGTGCCCTCAGGAGGTCCAGTAGTGCCCCCCCAAGCACGCAGAATGCAGTGCATCCCTTGCCCCAGACCGAGAGTGCCTATCTATACATTTTGGCTAATAGCCACGGATGGACCTCTGCTCCATATGCTTATCCAATTCCCTCTTATAATAACATAAGAGAGAAGCCAATGTTGAGTCAGGCCAATGTCCCATCCAGTCCAGCAATCTGTCACACAGTGGCCAAAAATACCAGGTGCCATCAGGAGGTCCACCAGTGGGGCCAGGACATTAGAAGCCCCTCCCACTGTTGCCCCCTGCCCCAAGCACCCAGAAGACAGAGCATCACTTGCCCCAGAGCCCCTATCTATACCTTGTGGCTAATAGCCACGGATGGACCTCTGCTCCATAGGCTTATCCCATTCCCTCTTGAAGCCGTCCATGCTTGTGGCCGCAGCCACCTCCTGTGGCAGTGAATTCCATGTGTTCATCACTCTTTGGGTGAAGAGAACTTCCTTTTATCTGTTCTAACCTGACTGCTCAGCAATTTCACGAGTTCTTGAGAAGTCCACTCGTGGAGTAAGTGGTGATAAATATTCTCGAGATGCAACATGGGCAGCTCATCAGGATGTACGACATTTCATATGTTCACGGATCTCAAAGTACACATAATACATATAACTAAACAACTGCAAATTGAAAAGTCTCCTAAATTTTAGGAAAAAGGTATGTAGCCAACAGGGGGGGGGGAGCCTAAATGGTGCAATGTTTACCTGCTTAGTTCCCAATTCGCGATGCTCAAGAGCTCCAATGGAGTGCCCAGGTACCATTAGAAGAGAATCAGCCCTGTGGTAGTCCGCCCCCTGGAATTTATGGGAAAGGTGGTGGTGGGGAAATACGATGCAGCAGAGACAAAATGATGACACAGAGGTAATCAGCGGCACCTGGGAGAGCAAAATTGCATCAGCCGACTTGCACTCCTCAATCCAAAAAGCAGCCAAGTCCATCAGACACGCAGCCAATCAATTTCTTCATTCAAACCTCTTGGCTCCAGAGTATCCAACAAGAGGGTCCTGAAGGACTCCCTTTTCTTCAAAAATCAAATTTGTTGTGAAGAGTGCACCAGCAGCTCTTCTATGACCCAGAATAGAAGGTCCTTATTTATATGTCCAAAGGACATTAAGTGTTTCACTAGAGATGGTCTGCCATTGCCTTCCTTGGTGGTCTCCCATCCAAGTGCTGACCCTGCTTAGCTTCCAGCCTATGGTGACCCTAGCAAGGGGCTTTCAAGGCAAGGGAGAAGCAGCCTTTGCCTCCCTCTGCAGAGCCTTCCTTGGTGGTCTCCCATCCAAGTACCAACCAACCCTACTTAGCTTCCAACTTATCCCATCAAGGGGTATTCAAGGCAAGAGAGAAGCAGAGGTGGTCTGCCATGGCCTTCCTCTGCAGAGCCTTCCTTGGTGGTCTCCCACCCAAGTACTGACCCTGCTTAACTTCCTACTTATGGTGACCCCAGCAAGGAGCTTTCAAGGCAAGGGAGAAGCAGTGGTTTATTTATTTATTTATTTGGCTTCGATACCGCTCTCCCCGTGAGCAACCTCAGGGTGGTTTACAACAATTCATATAAATACATCTAAAAACAGTAAACAATCTAAAATCCAGAACCATGAAACCTAAGAACTACATGGCGCCTTAAATAATTTTCTGACCCTCATTTCATTTTAGCATGGTATGGGTGTATGTGAAAAGCAGTGAATAAACCGGAGAGTTGTTAAAACTGTTTTAAAAAACCCCGTTGCTGTCCTCAACCATATGCTTGGTGGAACACCTGTGCCTTGTGGGCCCTGTGGAATTGTAATCAGTCCCGCAGGGCCCTGCATGTTCGTACGCGGAGAGTTCCAGCAAGTTGGAGCCAGGGCTGAAAAGGCCCTGGCTCCGGATGAGGACAGGCAGACAGTCTTTGGGCCAGGGGCATTGGTCACCTGAGCGCAGGGCTCTCCAGGGGGAAATACCGGGAGAGGCGGTCCTGCAGGTACCCTGGCCCCAGGCCATTTAGAAGAAGAAGAGAAGAAATTGGATTTATATCCCACCCTTCACTACCCAAAGGTAGAGCGGCTTACAAACACCTCTCCATCCCCCTCCCCACAACAGACACCCTGTGAGGTAGGTGGGGCTGAGAGAGCTCTTTCAAGAGACTGCTCTTTTTCAAGGACAGCTCTTATCAGAACTATGGCTTGCCCAAGGTCATCCAGCCAGGTGCAAGTGGAGGAGGAGTGGGGAATCAGACCCAGTTCTCCCAGATTAGGGTCCACGCACTCAACCACTGCACCAAACTGGCCTTAAAGGTCAAGACCAGGACCCTGAACCTGACCCAGTATTCAACTTGGAGCCAGTGCAGCTGGCAAAGCACAGGTCGTACGTGTGCAGTTATTGGTGTCCTGGTAAGGACCTGAGCCACTGCGTTCTGGACAAGCTGTCGCTTCCAGATCGGCCTCAAGGGCAGCCCCACGTAGAGTGAGTCACAGTAATCAAGCCTATAGGTGAGTGTTGCCTAGATGCCGGTCGCTAGGTCAGGGAGAGGCAGGGAGGGGGCCCGTTGCCTGACCGGGTGCAGTTGGAAGAATGCCAGCCGGGCAACATTTGTGACCCGGGGACTCCACT